GTTTTTTGTTTGCCCCCCCTTTTAGTTATATATATATAACCGCCCCCCCCCCACCCCCCTCCTTTCTTTATATATACTTTTCTATTTTACTTTTTATACCTTATTCATGCAGCCCTAAAAATCTTTCCTCTGATTCTCTAATTCACTGTCAGAGTTTGTCCCCTATTTACGCAATTATTTTTCTTTTATTGCTATTAGTGCCCTGCTAAGGTCCATTGATACCTTTTTTTGGCATTTTTATATGCAGTGCATGTGTTAAATATATTGCCGTGCATCCCTACGGATGTTGCACCAAAGATACAACGAGCAGATTTTCCTTACATATCACACTGAAACACAAAACTGTGAATAGACCTTTATTTAGCCACTATTTGCCCAGAACCCAATAGGAGAGTGAATGCAACCTGGGAGCTAAAAAAGTAAGTTTGCCTTGAATGTAGTTCATGGTGAATATTGTGTATAGTGAAGTCAGTGTATGTGGATATTGTTCTGATGTATGAGCGTCAGTATGTGTAACGGGATACAGCGGCTCTCCGGTGCGGTGAACCGTTAACATGACTGACACACGGAGGAAGAGGTAGATCCAGTGTCTGATGGACCAAATATGACTTGTATCAACCAACACAGAATAACATCTGTTGTTTCTAGGAAAAGGAACAAAGTTTGTGTTTCCAATTTCCTCCACCAAATTTTGCAAAAAAAAGTTATAATGAGAAAAATAGACATTGTACTGGCCACAGAAATCACAAAGTGGTAAACGAATGAGGTCTGGAAAGCATTGAGCGCGTCTCTAACTGTGTGTGTACTGAAATAAAATCCAACCCTCCATTCAGTGACATCGCAAGTCCTTTTTTTTTCTCTAACTCGGGTCATTTCTTTTCTTGACTGGGGCATTTCAGAGGTAACCTGCCCTCCTAACAGCCACTTCTGGCCCTCAAACCGCGACTCCCCCGTTTACCCCACCTGACAGAATACAATTAGATGTGAGTGGAGTTCATTTGGCCTCAGCAACCTTTTATTAAATACCAAACGATAAAGAACAATGAACAATAACACAACCATAGAAAACTAGTGATTCCAGGTCCTTGAATGCACCATAATAACAAAACACCAAACCCTGTGTCTGCGGCATCAATCACTATCAGTCACCAGCTGCAATACACCGCCTTGGGGATGAAATCTGTTGACTGCAGACATGTACTGGTCAATACGACCAGTTGACTGTACCACCTAGAGGACACCACACCCAAGATGGGTCCCCACTCGTTTACCAATAGCACCAGCTGAAAACCACCTTCATAGACCCCAAACCCACTGCCATGATATGTCCCCAGATAGCCCAAAAGTGAACTGTAGGGCAAGTGGGGGAAGCTTTCTTGACATCTGAAACCCTCCAGTTGGATTCTTCTTGATCCTCTCCACGGAACACTCATAGGGACCCCTACCAAAAAAAAAGATATCCACCCCACTGAACTGCTCTAGAACTTATTCTTTAAACTCTATGTGGCCTGGCTCCTCTTCTAATCCTGTCATGCAGGCCTTAAGCTTTCTTTGCTCCAGGCCTGTCTTTTCTGCTCTCCCTCATGCAATCTCACACTAGAAGACTGTCTCTTTACTTGTGTTCTGACCAGGGCCGCAGGTAACCTCAAATATGAACAGGTGGGGTAGTGAGTGGCTCAATTTAGCTAAGTATGTTGATATCGTCAAAGCAAGATCTGATGGTAGGACCCGAGGACAGGTATGAGAAGCACCAATCTAAGCAGATGGTAAAGCTGTCCTCACACCTTGCGATCTCCTTTCTTTAAACAGTACAGTTCAACCTAGACCTAGTAGATTATACATTTAGATGTAACTGTGTGGGCCTACTGGAGATTTACAAAGTAAATACTTTTTGCATTTAGTTTGCTGCCTTTACTATAACATCAGTCAAATGGTCAATACTCCAAAAAACTGAAAAACCTCCTGCTTTGGCCCCAGTCTTATAAAGTCTTATTCTTCCAGCTCCGTTTTCCATCCAGGAGATGAAGACCTGTGTAAGCTCTAAGTTGATACTAGTTAGAGCTACCACAGTGCTGAGGGCTCTCTTCATGTTCCCATGTGACAGTCCTAGGTGCAGCCAATCAACAAGCACCAGAGTTGTCATGTGGGTGGAAGCAGATTGAGTCAGATGCTCTCTTTGCTTCTGGCGAGTAATATAAGGGAGCAAAGAGAATGTGTATATAAGCTTTTTAAGGGGCAGCTTTATTGAGACCCTGTTGCAAACCACACTAAATGTAAAGCCCGTCTCCAGGCAATCAAAAAGATACCCTTGTAGTGGGGCTATCCCCACACTGCAAGGTTTAAGTGCTTGTTTTTGTCTAGGGGACTAGAGTAAAGCACTTTTCCTTACCTGATCCCCACTCCTGTCAGCTCCCTCTGAGCTTCTAGACCGGTCTCCACAGCCTCTTCTCCCCTTCACTCTGATAGACCACTGATGTCATCACGTCTATCACATCTAATGAAGTTTTAATAGACCTGCATTAAACATGAGGACACAGAGGGACACACCACCAGTTGGAGTGTAGGGGGAGAAGAAAACTGCTGGAGGAGTGGGGATCAGGTGTGTAAAAGTGCTTTACTCCAGTCCCCTAAACAGGTACTTGGTGGAAGCTCCACTGCATGGGTAGTTTTTTTGGTTTGCCCAGAGATGGGCTTTAAGAAAGCTTAGATCTTTTGTTTTCTTCAGGGTTACTGTTCAGATTTCATCAGTCTATGTGTTACCATTGTAGTGAAAAAAAACAAATTTCTTACCCCATTGCCATAAGACAGGACAGGGTCAAACAGACTGTCCAGATAATGGTCCATGCCTTTCTGTGATGGAGGTTCACTGAGTGTATCTGAATCTGTGGGGAGAAAGCACAGTGGTCCATCAGTCAAATGACTGTACTTCAGGGGCCAGTGTTGATGGGATTTTGTTCAAGTGGGTCTGAGTCTCACTGACTGCTCAAGGTATATGGCAATTTACTTACCATGACTGTAATACCCCTCAGAATCAGGGATCCCCTGAGTTGGTAAGGAAGGGGCTTTCATCATCGGAGGTGGTGGTACCTCTTCATCCATGTTGGAGCCGTTCCCAAATACTCTGCAAGTAAGTGAAGATAAACATTCATCGTAAAATTCTGAAATGTCATGCTAGTAAATTATTATCCACCACATGGAGGTCTGTTAGCATGACAGCAGTAAGATACCTACACATTGCGCTGCTCTGTACCTTCACGAACCCCTTCGGAAGTGATGAAGTACTTTTGCTTGGGGAATTCTCCGGGCAGCTCCACATTTGAAATCAAATCTAGGACATAATCATGACCAGCCAGCTCCGACCATTGACCGCCATCTTTAATAGACAACGACCAGCCTCGCCATCCCTCCATCACCCCCCTGTGGATAGGGAAGGGAGAAACACTTGAGTCACAAATCAGCTAGATGTGGTATTAATGAAAGTAATGCATTTTAGCAAGGACCTACAAAATGTATCAATAGCCAAGTGGACAATATTTTGTCATGGACAAATCCTCATGGGCAATAGTATTATGTGTGTTGTCCAGTGACCTAAAATAGAACCCTAGTCAATTTGTTCTTTCTTTTTTGTGAAATTATTTTGATTGAGTTGGCAAAATGTCAACAATGGCAACAAACTAGGGGATTACACAAAAACAGAAAAATGAGGCTGTAACACAGGTTGCAGTGAATGTTATTACGATATGGAGTTGTCTACAGTGTGGAGGGAGAAGGTATACGGTTCTCAAATGCTGTCAAAGAGAGCCGCATGTTAATTAATAAAGGGGGAGCGCAGAGTTAATCTGGCATTTCCACAAATCAAGAGATGGGGGTGGAGGGTTTTCCAAGTAATTAGAATGCATTTTTTTACACAGAAGAACAGGGTTCTCAGACGTTTTTTGCGGTAGGAGGGTAATGGTCTATCCCCAAAACGGTTCAGGCGATATACTTCCGATGACAGGTTATTTGGCAAGCTGAAGGAGGTACAAATAAATGAGGTGATTTGGTGCCAGAATTAAAAAATCGGGTTACACTGTCAACTATTTTTCTTTTTAGTTTTGTAAAGCACAAGGAAGGGTTAGAACTAAGCAGAGCAGAACTAAAGCAGAGCAAGGAAGTGGTTGAACTGAGCAGAGCAGAACTAGAGCAGAGACTTTCCTGGTAAAAGGGGTCACCTGGGTTGAGAAGTTCACAAGAATTAAAACCAGAAGGCCTCCAGTGCGTCCCTGCACCTTGTGAGGAGGAGTAGGCTACCTCCTGGTACACCTGCATTCAATTTATCAACTGCATCAATATGCTCCCACTTGGAGACTCATATTAATAGAGTTAGGACCACACTTTACAGAGGTGCCTTGACGGTGGCAGTGTGGCTTCTACATATTTTTGCCCAAAGGTTTGTGCAACTAAAACCTCTGCTTTTAACATATACTGTTAGACAGGGTCATTTGTTTTGTTGCAGGCCAGCTGGCAGGTGTGCTGGGGATTTTTTGTGTTTTGTATTGTTGTGAGCCTTCCCATGTGCACCCTGCTACAAAGGCTGGTTATAAATGTATGCGGTTACCATCTTTTTCTAGTTAGAACCAGAAGGAACACCAAACACTCAAGTCAAGTGTCCAAAACTGTATTTTATGAATCTGTAAATGTCTATGGATGAATGAAATACAGTTTTGGACTCTTGACATGTGTGTTGGTGCTCCTTCTGGTTGAAATTATTGTCGTCCAGTGAGCAAGACAGGTGGGCGTGCATTTTCGGGGTAGGTCTTATATTACAGAAATCCCTGAAGATAGTGCTAGGTCTTACTTTCGGGGTAGGTCTTACTTTCGGGGAAACACGGTAGGAGGACCTCTGCTCTTTGGAAAGCTGTTGAACTTGGGTTATTTGAAGTTAACTAACGAGAGACTTTTCTCCTATGAACCAAATAATTGGGTTCTGCACCTTGCCTCTACTTCAACTTGGATTAATGGAAAGGTCACCTAAGCCTGGACATATGGTAGTAATATTTCAGGGATGAAGTAGGCTGAGTCGGTCTCAGGGCCTCTTCCCAGATAGACATGCCTGCTACATTTCCTCCACAAGGGTAGGATACCAAAACCATCTAAACTAGAACCTCTGAAGGAGGCCTCATTCCTTACCCCAGTGCAGGGAGTAAGCTCAGCAACAATCATATTACCAAAATAACAAATAATTAACACTGATTTGTAGAAATATACCTGTGCCTGAGGACATCTCCTGCTAACTCTTCTCCATCATTCCATGAATGGATGGGGCACAGAATCTTTGTACCTAGACAGAACAGAGACCAAGAATTGTCTACAGTAAAGATCAATGGATGAACAAGTGACCTGAATTAGACTTGATTCTTCCATCATGTGTGTCTGTTCCTTGCAGTGTAAAATATGAAAAGGTTCTTTATGATGGACCCAGCTACAAAAGAAAAATGAACACTGAAACACATACAAATGTATGGCCAGTTCTGATGAAATCTGTCTGAAAGGTTAATTAACCTTTTAACCTCAATGACATAACTGCTACACCAGTGGCAGTACCTGCATGTGATTATACTTAGACCCGTAGTAGCAGCCAAAATGTTGCTTACTTATTTAAAGCAGCCTGATGGCTATATTGTAGAAGCAATCTGGTGACTATACTGGCGGTTTTACTATGATGTTGCGTGTTCTTGCTAAAACATTTTATGTATCTAAAATAGGTCCCTTTGTTTGCAATACTAACAACACTTGTGCCGTCACAGACAATGTGATTTTCTGCGAATGCTATTACGTTACTATGTATTACATATTATTATGCTGTGGTATATGCCTGACATCTAATGGTAGATTCACTCTACTACTTGTCTTCTGTATACATTCGGCATTTCCCTCTGTTTTCCCCTCCTTTTTTGAAGTCAGTTGGTATAGTCTTAAATAGACCATCCCTTCTTCCATGTTCCCTCATTGTATGTCTAGCCCTCATTGCAGACACTAGGCTGGGAAGATCATTGTCTTTTCACACTTCAAATGACCAGAAAACATCACTCTGTAAAGTGCGTTGCAAAGTAAAACTGCGTTAGATTAAGCTTATGTGTCTTAATGGAGAGTTAGGCTGATTGTGGATTGCGCTGATTCAGCTGGTGACCATACTGCCCGAAGAATTGCGGTCCAAAGGAGGTATGTCAAAGCAAAAAGCGGCTCTTGAAACAGAACAACACCTACAATGCCTCAGGAGATGATGACTATCTACAGATCGTTAATATTCCGAAAAACATGCTACTTGACAGGGCGGTATTTACCATCAAACGCTCATTGGCCTATAAAGCAAGAAAGGCAAGAAAGGCAGTACCAAAACTGCATGGGACAATCTGATGTAGAATTTTTTGTGTGATTGGCTAACTATGGTCCAGGTGTGTAGATTAAACCATAAACCACTTGGTAAAGGGGTTGCTGAGAGCAATCACAAGACTTTCTACAGTGCTTGTTATCGTCACTTTGTTTTCAGCCAGGTTTTGATTGGTGGTTTGCAAACTCATATGTAGGGTTGCCACCTGTCCAGGATTCACCCGGACAGTTCGGGTTTTGAATGTTGTGTTCGGGTTTCATGGCATCAGAAACCCGGACACAAGATGTCAAGCAGACAGGGACAACCAAAATTAAGATAAGGGCTACTGCCCCCCACTGAAAACAGTCTCAACTGTGATATTTACGTATGAATGGGCGGCGCTATGTACATATGAATAAGCCACAACTCATTCTCCCCAAAAAATGTCTGCGCGTCGCTAGAGTGTTCAGGTTTGGCTTGAAGAAAAAGTGGCAACCCTACTCATATGGGAACTCTATGTGTAAAGAAGACAGTATGTGGTCTCCAAAAAAACAATATTCATAAATCACACAGTTGGATCATGTAATCTTGTATTAAAAAAAAGCTTTATCATGCAAACGTCCATACAGCAGCACAACCTCTATGAATGGTGCTGCTACATGAGGGCTAGATGTTTTTTTGCCTCTTTGCAAATGAGACCTTTGGTATAAGAAGGAATATGCATTAATACTTATAACAGATACAGGGTTATTCACAAGAGGTTGAAGAGTTTGGAGAAGGCAGGAAAAGTGAACAATCTAGGACAACAAAGCTGATTTGTAGGGCTGCAGCTAACGATTATTTTCATAATCGATTAGTTGGCCGATTATTAAGTTCGATTAATCGGTTAATCGGATTTAAAAAAAAAAGGCTCCAGTGATTGACGACTAGTTTGTGTTAAGATTGTAGTCCATCACGGGAGCAAGCTTGGCGCGGTGGAAGTAAAAAAACGTGTGGTGTGCAATATAGTACATTATACAGCGGCGATTCAGCGTCCTGTGCGGTGGGCGTGGCTTACGCGGCCTGTGCCGTGGGCACGGTGGCCGCAGCGTGTGACGTGTGGCTCAGGCCGCATGTTGAGCCCGGAACAGCCCCGAACAGGCAAATCAATCGATAGCCGACGAATCGACGATCGAAAACGTTGCCAACGTTTTCAATCGTCGATTTTAATCGACTAAATCGATTAACTGTTGCAGCTCTACTGATTTGCAAAAATTCTTCAATTCAACTCACTTTTCAGTTCAGCTATGTTGTCCTAGAATGTTCACTTCTCCTGCCTTCTCCAAACTCTTCTCCGTTTAGTGAATATCCCTGATAGTTCTAGTATTTCTCTGTATTACATTTCTACAGTTATTATTAGAGTGCATTATAATACTATATAGTCCCTCCCTCCTCATACCGTCAAAGCAGGAGATCTCCAGAGCCATGTTGGCCCTCTCCCGGCTCGCGGTCCATTCTAATAAGCATGGAGGAAAGGTCCTTGCTGTCTCCGAGCCCTGCTGGGATTTTTGGATCGCGAGGATGAGCTTATGCTGACATACAGGCTTATATCCATTGTAAGCAAAGTCTGATACATACCTGCAAAACAATTAACAAATAGAGAACTTTTTCTATAATAAAACTATGCAAAGAACATCAGCCATGAGCAGGCTCTTTTTTTTTTTTACCAATTAGATTTTACCTTTAGTTCAACTGTAACTACACTTGACAAGAAGCAATACCTTTAGTTCAACCAGCTGGAACAATGAACAGTAAGGATAAGCAAAATTGAGAGCTTCAATTTCCCCCGAAAGTTCAGTGAAAATAAGAAGACCTCGGTGAACTTTTTGTTCATTTTGGCAAATTGCATTGGAGTCAATGGGAAAGGTGAAATTGAGATTTTTCTATTGGATTTTGAGAAGTGCAATGGGCTTTAAAAGGCTTCTGAGGGTTACCAGGAGCTCCTTTTAACTATCATGGACCCGTTCTTGTTACAAAAAAGACCCCCATTAGCCTTAGAAAGAAAACTTCAGACAGTAAAAAAAGTAAAATAAAACATTTATAGCGACAGTCAATGGCATGCCAATAATGTGTGTAATATGTGATGATGGGTGATGAGGCCCACTGTACCCCAACTACACACATTGGCAGTGGTGCCCCGCACGCAGCCCTCCGACTGAATGGTGGGCTGGGTCTGCCACGTGTCAGAGGCTGAAGCACAAGCAGTGGCAGCTTCGCTGCCTCCTGTCCGCCCACAACCCCAGGGGCAGCCTGGGTGAAATAGAATAAAGTGAGTAAGGGTGGGTTCTCAGCAGATGAATTTGGGCTGTGTTGGCCCTTTTTTTCTGTGCAGTCCCAATGCAAGACAAGGCAATTTACCTTGTCATGGATGGGCTTGGTTCACACCACCACAACGCACGGGCGTTCTGATGGTGTGCTCTGAAAGAAAGTGCTGCATGCCAGGATCGGCGCATCAACACTGTATTTAACACGCTGTATTAACATGCGATTTAACACAGCGGCTTGTGTGAATGGGCCCTTAAAGGTAAAGAATGAAATTATACTAAGTTGTATTAAAATTAGAAATGGGTAAAAATATTAAATCAATATTAAAAATGACTTTTGGGTAAATGTTACAACAAGGGATCAAAATATGGATTTAGTAAAAATACTAAAAATACATGAAAATGAAACAAAGGGCATTCAATATATGACCAATATGTTATTCAACCCTAAATAGAAATTACAAGATAAATAAATAAGATGGATCAAATGTGGCCTTCTGAAATGTACATTGTTTTCTTTAAACAATTTATGTTCTTGACCTTACTTGAGGAGATATTTGTCCAGGTTTGGAGATGGTGCAAAGCTGCTGAGACAACAAGCCAGTAGGTACCAGCCACGCTCTTCATTGTTGGGGTTGGTGTTCCGCCACACCTGATTGGCTATTTGGGCCAATATCTCATCTCTCAGCCCCACATTAGACAAGCACTTCTGGATGACATAATTTCCAAACACAATTTCCTGGACCTCATTGAGGAACGGGTCCCCCATGAACTTCAATACCTGTATGTGGGGAAAAACAATATAATAGTTTTTTTTTATGTAAACCTTAATCTTAGAGTGGGTGCAGAAGGAAGTATGATCCTGGAGACCCCCCTAGTTAGGAAAGCAATCCACAGTAGAAAGTATAGTTCTGGCGAGTGATCCCTCTAGTTGTAGTAGTGGGCCATAGAAGGAAGTAGCGTTCTGGAGATGCCTCTAGTTAGAGCAGCAGCCCACGGAAGGATGTACAATTCTGGAGGCCCCTCTTGTTAGGATAGCAGCCCACAGATGGAACTACAGGTTGGGAGACCGCTCTAGTTAGGATAGGAGCCCACAGAAGTAAGTACAGGTCTGGAGACCCCTCTAGTTAATATAGCAGCTCAAGGAAGGAAATATAGGTCTTTAGAACCCACTAGTTAAGATAGCAGCCCACAGAAGGAAGTACAATTCTGGAGGCCCCTCTAGTTAGAATAGCAGCTCACGGAAGGAAGTACAGTTCCATGGACTCCTCTAGATAGGACAGCAGCCTACAGAAGGAAGTACAGGTTTGGAGAACCCTCTAGTTAGGATTGCAGCCCACAGAAGAAGAACAAATTCTGGAGACCCCTCTAGTTAGGACAGCAGCTTACATAAGGAAGTGCAGTTCCAGGGACCCCTCTAGTTAGGATATTATCACACAGAAGGAAGTGCAGATCTGGGGACCCCTTTAGTTAAGTTAGCAGCCCACAGAAAGAAGTACCAGTCTGGAGACCCCTATAGTTAAGATAGCAACTCACATAAGGAAGTGCAGTTCTAGAGATCCATGGAAAATACTTCTCTGGCTGTTGGTAGATATGCAACTAGCTGAATATAGTGTCTTTTATATTATTTATTGGTAGTTAAAAGAGTGAAGTTACCAGTTTGAAGGCAGTAATAGCCTGTGGTTTTAAATCATCCTCCACTGGAAGCAGAGAAGATCCAAGGATCATTGTCAACATGCCAAACAGAGGCTCCTGCAGACAGATGGGAGGTCACAGCAAACATTACAACATACAGAATTTCACATCAAACATCTGATGGTTCAATGATATCCCACAAAAAACTCTGGTTAACAAAATGCACCAGAACCCAACAGAACTTTAATTCAAAAACAAAGTGTAAATTAAATGGCTGATTTCTTTGAGTCATACAGATTATATTCACTATAGACCCCTTAATGTCTCATATATTAAGAATGCCAGCTGCAGAGCAATACAAGAACATATATTATTTATGTGTAAGGAAAACTACAGATGAAACCAAAAAATTCCATTGACTCCCACTTTAATACACACTCTATGCTAGTGGTACCTAGCACCAATGATGGGGCAGTATTCCTCCCCTGACACCAATGATGTGGCACTATTCCCCCCACTGACACCAACCATGGGGCACTATTTCGCCAACTGACAACAATGTTGTGGCATTATTTCTCCCACCACTGACTAGGTAGATTTTTACTCATACTAATTATCAAGCCTGTGGCATTGTTAACTACCACCAACACTGATTCTGGAACATTTTCCACTCCTACTGGCCACAGTCTGGTCCACATAAATTCTAAAGGACATTGAACTGGGCCTTTGTTAATGCAGTTTGAGGACCCCTGGTCTATGCAGTCATTAAAAAACCCCAACAATACCTTTGAAAGTGTTTCCTGCACCCAAGCCAAGGGCTTGTAAGTTCTGGATACTTACCCTGAAGAAAACCCGCACATATTTGAACATGGGGTAATTGTTGATGTCGAGTGGCAGATTGAGTTGAGTGCCCACCTGGACCCTGGGCGAGTAAGCGGGTACAACACATTGCACCAAGAGGTTTATCTGGGCTGAGAAAAGAAAAGAATGAAGCCACAATACCATATGCAATGACAGTATTTGACTCGATGCATTGCTATATGTGCATCCTTACATCAGGACCTCTTTAACTCATTAATCATGGCCTAGACAACCTTTCTACAGGCCCGCATGTTCAGATGCTGATCACTGCACAATGGTTTTTCTTTTCCAATAACAATAAATGCTATAAGAGCTATTTCAGCAGAAAACTTCAGAAAAAGAGGCATAACATAAAAGCAGACATTTGTATGTACGCTGTAAATGCCACAAAGGGTAATCAACACCATTTAGAGGAGTTACAAAAAAACAATTGGCCTTTCTGAAGGTGCAGCATTGTCACCATTGTAACAATACATATATGTGACCTTTTTCAGCTGCCGAAGGATTAGTAATTCTCCACAGCCAGCCTTGTGATCCAGGCACTCCTGCCAGGCAGACCTCAAGCTTCACTGATACAACAGCTCAGCTTGCCTAAGAACACCTTCCCACCGGATTGGACAGCATGCATGATGCTTAATTGGCTCAGTGTGCTGCCCCTCCATCCATCTGTGTATTGCCATGGTCACTTGTAGTCTTCACCAGGGGTGCATATAATGGAGTAACAAGACAGAAGAACGACTGGGAGACAGTTGTCACCCCAAAACAGGAAGTGCCCCAACAAGGACACTAATGGCAGGATCGCCAGGGAATATTTTAATGAATGCTGTTGATTTAAAAAGATTGAAAACCTTATATGAGATTTCAGTGATTGAGTTTAGATCTACTTTAATCCGACCTACCTGGTGCTGTGCGGAGGAGTCCGGCCAGTTCGGCTGGGATCTCCAGATGAGTCACATTGAACACTTCTCTTTTAGTCAGTTCCTGGAATTAACAGACAATGAGAAGAAAGATACAAGCAGCAAAAAGAGCAACAGATAGAATATGACTGATCACTACGGTTGGTGTAGACATTTGTTAACACTGTATAATATAAGGAAGATTTTGATGCGTAGATTTATATTAGCGGCACCTACCTGCTCTGCCTTCCTGCGTTCCTCTTCAGCCAGCCTGCGGGCCTCAGCCTTTATCTATGAGGACAGGATACAGCAATGTTAGATATAGACACACATAACAAACATACTGATATGATGGTCACATGACTTAAAATACCATCATTCTAGTTTCCTCTACATTGGCATTGACGGTACCTTATGTTTAGGGGTCAGGGACAGGCTAAGGGCTTCATTTGAGGTTAGGATTACAGGTTGGTAATTCAGGAAAGAAGACTTTTGAGTTTACATTGAGGGGTTCATTTGTCTTGCTGGAACCCCAAGGCGATCAGATGTAGGTATATTGAAGGTTCTGCTTTCTAGGATCTATTACTGTGGTCTGATGATGGGAACCTTATCTTGGCGAACATTGGGCAAGCACAGGATTTGTCCTTCCCCTTTCACTACTACCAAGACTGGGTTGCGATCTTTGGTGAACCTCAAACCTTGGAACCCTCCTTTTATCCTGTGGCTCCATGCCTGAAATGCATGGAGGGTACAAGATTTGTCCCCGTTATGATGACCCTATTGTCACAGCTGCTGGATTATCATGGCTGGAGCCTCTGGTGCCTCTCAGCCCTCTATGTGGAAGCTCTCTGCTGACAAGCTCCCTAAAACATCCCAAGAAAGAAGCAGAATGGCTCACATGGTGCGCCACTTCTGGAGCAAAGCATACTTGCTTCTATTTTGGTGACCATTGAGCAGGCACAGAATTTGTCCTTCCACCTCCCCTACTACCATGAACGTGTTGTCATCTTTGGCGCACCTCAAACCTTGAAAACATACTTTTTTTTCTGTGGCTTCATGGCTGAAATACTTTGAGGATACAAGATTTGTTCCTTCATTATGATGACCATATTGATACTGTTGCCGAACTATCATGGCTGGAGTCTCTAGTGCATGCGTAGGCAACCTTGGCACTCCAGCTATGATGAAACTGCAAATCCCATCATGTCTTTGTATCTGGAAGTCATGCCTGTGGCGGTCATAGTCTTGGAATGCCTCATGGAACTTGTAGTTCCAAAACAGCTGGAGTGCCTAGCTTGCCTACCCCTGCTCTAGTGCCTCCTAGCCCTTTGGTTCTATGCCTGAAATACATGGACAGTACAGGATTTGCAACTTCATTATGATGGCCCTGTTGACTCAGCTGCTGGATTATCATAGCTGGAGCCTCTGGTGCCTCTCAGCCCTCTATGTGGAAGCCCTCCACTGATCAGCCCCCTAATGCACCCCATGGAAGAAGCAGAATGACTCACACTGGGCCCCACTTCTGGACCAAAGCGTACTTGCTTCATGCTGTTCTGCTGTATGTGATCACAGGTTGCTTGTCTCCTCACAGCTGGGTAGGGTGCGGCCTGGTCCAGCCCAGATCAAATCATACTTATTTATAGGTCTGGGATAAAAAAGGTCCTGGAGCAATGATATCACCTATACTAACAACAGTCAGAACACACTGCATCGTACTGTACTGCCCTGTTATAAAATCTCTGCAGAGCAGAACATGGAGAGTCACTCAACTTTGAAATCCATTATTGGGTACATGCTAGACATGTATGTTTACTTTTGTTCCGAATTGAAATTCAGGTGAATTCCATTAAATTTAGACATTCAGATGCATCCAAATGTTGAAATTAAAATTATCTGAATTTCGTATGCATTTGAATTTCCGAATTCAAATGCACCCAAATTCAAATGAATACATTCCCCCCCCCCCAGATTTGGGCCAAATTTACAATTCTAATGACCAGTATGGACTAAGATGACCAGTACAGACTAAGAGGACCAGTATGGACTAAGATGACCATTATGGGATCCAGTACGGACTAGGATGACCAATATGGACTAAAATGACCAGTATGGACTAAGATAACCAGTATGGGCTAAAATAACCACTACCGACTAAAATGAGCAGTACGGACTAAGAGGACTAGTATGGAATAAGATGACCAGTATGGACTAAAATGACCAGCACGGACTAAGATCACCAGTACAGACTAAGATGACCAGTTCAGACTAAGATGACCAATTTCGGACTAAGATGACCAGTACAGAATTAGATGACCAGTACGGACTAAGAGGTCTAGTATGGACTAAGATGACGAGTAAGAACTAAAATGACCAGCATGGACTAAGATGACCAGTATGGACTAAGATGACCAGTACGGACTAAGATGACCAGTATAGACTAAGATGACCAGTATGGACTAAGAGGACTAGCATGGAATAAGATAACCAGTATGGACAAAGAGGACCAGCACAGACTAAGACGACCAGTATGGACTAAGAGGACCAGTACGGAATAACATGATCAGTACAGACTAAAATGACCAGCACGGACTAAGATGACCAGTACGGACTAAGATGACCAGTACGGACTAAGATGACCAGTACGGACTAAGGTGACCAGTAAAGACTATGTTGACCTGTACAGACTAGCACAGACTAAGTTCACCAGTATGGACTAAGAGGACCAGTATGGAGTAAAATGACCAATACGGACTAAGATCACCAGTACAGACTAAGATGACCAGTACAGAACTAAAATGACCAAAATAAAAAAATTAATTAAATACATTTTTAATTGAAGAACACCATCCGAATTGATCCAAACTGAAAACGAACAATTCGGATCAATCTGAACAGAAAAAAACCAAACAAACAATCGATCCGAATCGAAAACCAAACAATTCTTATTGATCCAAATTCTGAATAATGAACCGAATCGAATTTCGGATCCAAATCCCCCCAAAAAACTTAAATCGTTCCGAAACAAAACACATTTTTGGAGCCTTTACATGTCTTTTAAAAATCCTGCCAGAAAGATCAGGAAATCCTATAGATTATTTCTGAAGTGCGCGGGAATGGTAAAATACGGATTTTGTGCTATTTAATTATTTCCTGAAAACAGTAAAATAATACACAGGGATGTGTCCCGAAGTATACAGGTCAGAGAAAATACCAAACACTTTATAAATTGCATACAAAGAATTCTATTTTTGGTGAGAATGAATCAGAAATCTTCCGCAGCATTTTTTAGATTTATTTGCTTTTGGCTCAGCTTGTCAGAACTCAAAGTCCAGCAGTCAGCGTGCGCCTGTCTGTACAAAATACAAAGGTGCAGCCTGTTTACACATCACCGAGGTAGCCCAAGACCAGCGCTGCTTCCATTCCCAGTAAGAAAATTATTCTTTATATCCCAGCTGTACTTCCTGTCTGGATCATCAAAACAAAAGCTGCTCAATGTCTTCTTCTTTTCTTCAATGTCAATGTGTTTGTTTTCTTTAGAAAGCAGCCACAGCCTGAGTAGAACAGCCTGTCCCCTGCCAGCATGGTTGCTCTGTATGTGGAAACAGTGGTCTTCCTGCAGAGGTCCGAGACTCCTAATGCTGAGTCAGAGCTCCTCAATTTCATGCTCACTTTCCAGCATGTACTAGACATGTAAAGGTTCCAAAAAAATTTGTTTAGTTTTAGATCGATTCAGATTTTTTTTTTTTCAGATTTCGGATTTCATATTCAGAATTCGGATCGATTCAAATTTTTCATTTTTTCAGTTCAGGTCGATCGATCCAAATTTTTTGGTTTTGGTTTGGATCAATTTTCTTGTTGTTGTCAATGGAACTGTCTCCTTAACAAAATCCTGACTCCTGGATTGGACAGACTGGCTCCTGGGTTCTAGGCCAAGGAAGGCAGTGGTCACAGGGGCAGCTGAATGGAGTGACATATATTTTGGGACACTCATCTTTCCAAAAAGTTTTTATTTGTTTTGTTTTAAATGCTTATAACAGTGATCACACTTTCACATTCAGTGTGTATTAAAACGCAGTATCAAATAAGGTTACAAACTCAGGTTTCCATGATATAATGATACAGTCAAACAGTGCAGTCCTCAAGGACTACATACCATTGCTATAAGTACTACGAACATTGTTACGAAAACTTCGGGACCAAGGTTCAGAGGCTAAGTATGAAGTGGTTGGTTCCAACTAGGTAAAATGAATGGAAGAGGAAGGGGATATATGGGGAGAGGTCAGGATAGGAGGCAGGATCTACAATTTGTGAAAGCTTCCGTTATTGAGATGTCAAAGGATCAAGGATTCCATATCAAGGGACACTCATCTTTCCAGTGAACCAGTGTTGTGCCCTTGCAGTGCAAGGCAATAGGTTTATTTTAAATCAAATGTTTTTATTGTTTTACAGTATAAAAGCAATAGGTTGATTTTAATGCTGGCCCGGGATATACTGTATGTGTAAGCTCTAGTTTTATACTCACAATACCCATATGTGCTGGGTTTTATATTTGCTAATGGCAGCTGAATGAAGGAAAGGTGAGCATGTCCTGCTGGGGAAGCATCATTTACCTTGCATGGCCAAAGCCCACGATTGCTTTAATGGCGAGCCTATCAAAAAATGACAGTTACCCAGAAGCCCTTTCTGCATCATGACACCGGTGATGCATCATCTTACCCTCAGGAATCTCCTCCGGTTCACGTACATACGGACCACTGCTCTGAACTTCTGTAGACTCTTCCGATAGTTCTGAAACTTACGTCTGGTGATGGAAAAAAAATAATTGTTTTAGTTTAGTGAAAGTGGTGAAATGATACTTCGCAAAGATTATTCAATCACATGCAAGGAAAATATTTAAAAAACAGTATATTTGATTGCACATGATGGAAAAAGTGGAAATCCCTATGCAAAGTGAACGGCCCACTTGGTCATACCTAGCCAGGAAGCCACGTGCCAGCGCCTGCAGGTTAATGATCCGGTATCTCAGGGTGGTATAACGTTTCCGGGTGAGGTACCCGCGGCTGTAGCGCTGTAGAGTCACTGCTGCCTTGTTCATCAGTTGGTCCCGTTTACTTTCCAGCTGCTGGTAGAGATTCTCCTTCATGAAAAGCTGAAGAGAAAAAGAGAAGAGAGGAGATCTGAGTATCGGAGAGAGAGACTCATCCAGAACATGGAAATACCAAATATTCTGGATAATAGAAGGGAACACATTCTGCAGAATAATAATTATATGTGAATTCATCCTCCTCCATCCAGAATCTATATGAAGTACAATGGAAGTACAAAGCTGACTGTTGGATCATTATCTAGTATTACTGCTGGGGCTAGTTTAACAGTATAGGAGGGAGAGAGAGAGAGAGAGAGAGAGAGAGAGAGAGATAATTGATAGAGATGGATCATTAGATAGATAGATTAGAAAAGAAAGAAAGAAAAAGTAAATATTAGATAATTGACAGAGATACACTGATAGATCAGATTATACAATTGTAGATAGATAGACAGACAGACAGACAGACAGACAGACAGACAGACAGACAGACAGACAGACAGACAGACAGACAGATAGATAGATAGATAGATAGATAGATAGATAGATAGATAGATAGATAGATAGATACTTGAATAATCAGCACAGAGTCAGGCCTTCTCCATGTGGAAATAGTTACCTTGCTGACCCCAATGCAGAACAAACTGGGAGTTACAGAAGGACACAATTTCCTCAGCAAGGTCACACATATCTGTCCATCCGCATGGATATTACGTCCCAGGTCCATAACACAGCGATACCTGGAGATAGGAGATCACACACAATGCTTTAAATAAGTCTATCTATAGAGCAGTCACACTCACCCAATGACATTATTATCAAGGGGTGACCTGCTATCCAATATTAACCTTTACTGGGCAGAAGCTGGTCAGACACAAACTCAGAAAGACACTTTATTTTTTTCTCATCAGTGCATCATATATATGAACATTCACTCAAGCTAACCCAATGCACTGTACAATGATAACTTTGTAACGTGCGCTATCTAGAGACTAATATTGGTATTACAGCATGCTGTAAAACGCTAGTAAACCTACAACATAAATACAATGGGGGGAATTTATCAAAACTGGAGCAGACAGAATCTTGAGCAGATGCCCATGGCAACCAATCAGCAATTCTCTTCAGTTTGCTCAGGTAAGATTTGAAAATGAGACAGAGCAGTTGATTGGTTGCAGTGCAAATCGGCTCCAGATTTTGTTTGCTTCAGTTTTTATAAATTCCCCCCAGTATATATACAGCAATGCTAACATCTACTGCTAGTGCTAGCTTTAAATGCATAACAAAAAACAGTATCATTAGTGCCGAAAACATGATGTTACCTGCTTATGAAGATGTGGAATGGGATACGAACAGGGAACCCCTCCTTCCGAATGCGAATGGTCTCTAAGATCCCGGCGTATTTCAGCTGACTGACCACAATATCAGCCTCGAACATCCCAGGCTCCTGCAAACAACACAGACAAGCCTCAGACATCCCATACATCTGTACTGTGGAGGGGACAATGAAATTCACAGGGCCGTCCGGGCATAGGAGCATAGGAAAGTGTTGTGCTCCTCAGCTCCATGTAGTGGCCATAAAGCTCTGCGAATCGTGTTCGCAGAGAGGTTTGCTCTGCAAACATTTTATAAATGGACCCCTTAACGAATGATTGTCCGTTCAAAAAATATATTGCTACTACTAGCCATCATGTGGCTGGTTTTGAGCACCATGCTACTGTCTGCAATCACTTGTATTATGGCACAAATAAAATTAAAAGTAATCTTCACCAAATAACATTAAAATAAACCTTACTTAGGTAGCGCTAGGATTATAAAGTATGAACATATTTAGTTATTCAGCAGCGTGGACTGAACACTTTGCTGTCCTCTGTACATGCTTCAGTGTATATTTCCCATTTTTTACCTTTTTGCTGTTGGGTTTGATGCAGCGAACAAAGAAAGGGTTGCACCTGCAATAAAAACACAAACATTGGAAATAAGCACAAGGAGGAATTATTGCACAAATTAAAGGAAACCTGTCATGGGAAAAGTTTGTGATCTGCCATTGCTGACTTGTCTCTGACATTCTGCTGCATGCTTGCTCTTGGTCCACAACTCAGAACTACTGTACCCCAGGAATGGATTACCAGCAGTACAATCTGTAGGCGCTGATGCAGCACCTAAAGCTGAACTCCAGGCACAAAAACCGTCATTCAAAAATCCCCACCCCCGAGGATATAAATCCAATTTGTGTGCCAAATGCCTTTGTAGACCCAGATATTACCTCGTAACAGTGGCAGTGACATCATCACTGGGCTGTACAAAGCCTGTAAAGAGATAAGAGATGCGGGAGGAATCCAGCCGGGCCCACCCACTACAGGCTGCCTGTAGAAAACTACACAAGGGCGGCAGAGACAAGACCAGTCACCCTGCACAAGAAAAGAGGGTAGTAGTGACTGGTCTTTGTTACAGGAGGGGGTGGAGACAAGACCAGTCACCCTGCACAAGGAGAGAGAGAGCAGCAGTGAGCGGTCTTTATTACAGGAGGGGGCGGAGACAAGACCATGCACAAGGAGAGGGAGCAGCAATGACCAGTCTTCATTACAGGAGGGGGCAGAGACCAGACCAGTCACCCTGCACAAGGAGAGAGAGCAGCAGTGAGCAGTCTTTATTACAGGAGGGGGCGGGGACAAGACCAGTCACCCTGCACAAGGAGAGAGAGCAGCAGTGAGCAGTCTTTATTACAGGAGGGGGCGGGGACAAGACCAGTCACCCTGCACAAGGAGAGAGAGCAGCAGTGACTGGTCTTTATTACAGGAAGCTCCAAGTCTCACACGGGATTACTGCACAGATCTGGAAGAAATACACAAAGCTCACCAAGATTCAAGAAGAATGCACATGACTCTAATATCAGGACAATATGTGCTGATCCCGGAGTTCAGCTTTAAGATACGCTAAAATTGATTTTTAACTAATGCTATCCCTGTAGCATACTATACTGCGTCAGAGGCCACTTTAGCATGCCTTAGCACCATTGCTTCTTGATGTAAATAAACCTAAATGACTGATATTTCACTAATGATAGGGAAAATATATGTAACTGATAATTGTAGAGGGAACAGCTAACTCTTTTCCTCAACCACCTATAGACAGCTCAAGGCAGACACAGCCAGGCAGCTGGCATTTTCAAAATAAGTCCATTAGTAGCAGCCCCTATAGTTCTCTCTTGGCAAGTGTACATTAATTAAAATCCAACCAATCACAATGCTACCTTTTATATCATCCCATTAAGAATATACAGGGTAGGTCTTGGTATGTAATAAGGGTAATGATGGAAATATTTTGAACAGCCCCCATTACCACTCCCCCCACCAACTCCCCACAAGCCGCATAATCCTTCACCTCTCCATTTTTTCCACCAGTTCCAGGAGGGATTGCTGAAACTTGGCTGCCACTGTCTGCGCCTTAAACTTTCTGGTGACAGTGCTGCTTTTTCCCATCATGGTTTTTTGCTGCGATAGCACCTGTGCATGGGTGAAGAACAGGTTGGCCACTACCTGAGGAAACAGAAGACAGGATATTAAGACCATGTATTACCCAAATGTAACCATCATATACCAGCCATCAAGGTTCTCTACACCACATGCCATAATTCCACCATGTCTCACCCATGTGCAACCATCATATACCAGCCATCAAGGTTGTCTACACCGCATGCCATAATCCAACCATCTCTTACCCATGTGCAACCATCATATACCAGCCATCAAGGTTCTCTACACCGCATGCCGTAATTCAACCATGTATCACCCATGTGCAACCATCATATACCAACCATCAAGGTTCTCTACACTGCATGCCATAATCCAACCATCTATCACCCATGTGCAACTATCATATACCAGCCATCAAGGTTCTCTACACTGCATGCCATAATCCAACCATCTATCACCCATGTGCAACCATCATATACCAACCATCAAGGTTCTCTACACCACATGCCATGATTTAACCATCTCTCACCCATGTGCATCCACTATATACCAGCCATCAAGGTTCTCTACACCGCATGCCATAATCAAACCATCTATCACCCATGTGCAACCATCATATACCAACCATCAAGGTTCTCTACACCGCATGCCATAATCAAACCATCTATCACCCATGTGCAACCATCATATACCAACCATCAAGGTTCTCTACACCACATGCCATGATTTAACCATCTCTCACCCATGTGCATCCACTATATACCAGCCATCAAGGGTCTCTACACTGCATGCCATAATCAAACCATCTATCACCCATGTGCCACCACCATATATTAGCCATCAAATTTTACTATACAACATGCCATAAACAATCATGAATATGGCGCGTCCTGGAAACTCCCACCATTCTAAGTCCTGTTTATATCTCACCATACACTAGGAAAACTCATAAGCAATTTTTTTTTCAGTAGCAGAAAATTCATAATTTTAGGCATATTTTCAAAGAAGCAAACAATCACTGATCATTCATTGTTCATTCACTAGAGAATTGTTTCTAAAGCACATTGGCCAATCAGTATTGTCCGCATATTAGCCTAGACAACAGTTGGATTTTCCACTTGAAAAACTCACCATCCCACCAGTTGAATACAACTCTGACAGCCGCTCAGCAATCATCTGCCTCTATATACCATCAATGTATTATTAAATGTATTACTGTTTTTACTGTGCAGAGTCTTGGCTCCTTACCTTGATTTTACTAGTCACAAAAAGATCCAGGACGTCTTGCTTGACTTGATCATAGTTTTTATCCAAAAATTTGTGCACCTGAAGGTAAAAATGTAAGGTCACACATGTGAAATGTGTTTTATTAATGTAGAGCTCAAACTGACAAACTGACACCCATGCCCAAATTGTATTGCTGTCTGCCTCATCCTTTTGAGACTTCTTCTCACTTTTTGGTGTGTCACAAGGACAGGAAGAGATGAAAGTCTCTCCATTGGGAAAAAAAGACAGTAATAGTAACGGGGGAAGTTCTATTGCTGTATGTGCTCCCACTGGAGAACTTTCCCTTCACTTTCTGTCCCAGTAACACCAGGGAGAGAAATGACAAAAATGACAATGAAACCAAACAGAGATTCCACCCTTTCCCATTCTGTTAAATTGAAGTGTTTCTCAGGTGGCTAGGATCTCAGCAGACCTCAGGAACTCACGTCAAGAAAACAACATTAATGTCTGATAAACCAGGGCCTTGGAGATGGGTTTTCCATAGAACAGGATGTAATTTACCTGATAAGTGACTTTCCCGGCAAAGTGTTTGAGCCCAAACTCAGGTAGCGGCATCTTTGGTTTGCAGTACAATTCGTTGGTTCCATGGTGATAGTGACACTTCTGGAGAAACGTGTGGTCTGTGGCCTACAAGAAAAAGGGACCAGAGCACCATTTAAATTTGCATTTGAAAAAACATGTCTAAAAGGTGTGGGCTTTCAGATGTATTTATGTGAACAGGCACTGCATGATTTATTAATCAGCGAATGATTGGATAAGTTGGTGCTTCTTTTATATTTCTCCCTGACGTTCAACTTCATGGGGACCCCGAGCTGGCCTTCATATTTGGCCTTTCTGGTGAGTGGTGGTCACCCGACAAATCTGGGTGTATTGGATAGAGTGTCCCCCCGCTGGACGATGTGGTTCCACCCACTAGCCTCTATGCCACTGCTGTGTCCGGTAGTGCTATAGGAGGCGACGGGATGAACCACTCACCCACCAGTGGGACATGCTATCCAAAACACCCGGAAGTGTCTGATATCTGCAGCACCTGGAGCTCTTCATAACCACAGTCAGAGCCCTAAAGGCCAAATATCAAACTTCTTCTTTTACAGGCTGGCTCACTTTGAAGTTTTTCTTATCATACCCACAGGGATGCTTTAAAGTTTCACAAGATGAGGGGTTCTGATTGCTCTAGCAGGTATATCGAGTCACATTATTTATGAACCTAGTAGGCACATCCATTAGAGCAGTTTATAGATCCGCCTGACCAGCTGGCAGGGTTTAAAGTTACCTGTGGGAAGCAGCTTTGGTCATCCAGTATTCTCAGGATTCCATAGGGCTTCTGTGAAATAAGATCTATGCATACTTGGTTATCGTTGAAGGAGATCTCTCTCCAATCAATCTGCTCTCGGATGTATTCCTCCTATGAGAGAAAACAAATATGATGTCAGTCTTAAAAAAAGGAGGTCCATTCTTTATTGCATTGTTGAAGAGCTGGAACCTGCCATAGCACTTGACAAAACACGTGACAAGTCATATGCCCAGTAGTACTCTACTTCACTATTGTAGTGGGAGGGATCCGTTCCTGACCACATGGGAGTTTTCCAACAAAAATTTGAGGTGGCTCAATGTTCCAAGAACCTACCTGCTCCTCTCTGAACACGATCTTGTTGAAGAAGAATTGCAGGTATTCATTAGCATAGTTAATGCAAAGCTGCTCAAAGCTGTTAAAATTGAGGTCCTGTGATTGAAAAGAAAAGTTAGTGGCATCAAATATTCCAACATATTCCAAGCTCCATCACTTGCAAGCCTATCGGGGAAGCTGATGGGCTAGCACTGGTTCAGCCGAGGGTAGAATTCCGAGGAGCTTAGTGCCTCCTGATAAGGCAGGTCAGACCAGGTCTGATCTTAAGCTAGTGCCATGAGCAAGGAGACCCAAGGATGGCTAAAATAAACACTATGGGTCTATATATAAACTCTACAGGGCCCTATGAACGTTCCATCTGTGCAGATACATGCCAAAACAATGTTCTTTAGTTGTTTCTTTACAAGGCAATGTATTTTTGAATGTTTTTTTCTGTGAAATACTGTACTATGCCCACTACAAGGCGGTGAATATAGAAAATAAGGATTTATTTTCTATGCTCCTTATCACCTTCTAGTGGCCACAATGCAGTATTGCATAAAAAAAAGCATTCAAAAATACACTCCCAAATACACATTTGTTTAGGCATATATCCACACAGAACATTCACAGATATTCACTGGGCAACCCTTATAGTTTTGGTGTAAATCGATGGGTGAGCCTTCCGCACACCTTGCAGCAGTTCCGGCCAACAAGAAAGACGGTGCTCATAGTGATAACCACGGATGGCGCTGTGCAAACACAGAACAAAAAAGCAGATCACCAGCACTCAGTTGTAAAGTTGAATATGTCCCTTTAATTGGACAAAGACATCACAGTGATCAGAAAAGCCAACGTTTCGGGACCGCGCAGGGTCCCTTCCTCAAGGCAGAAAGACGTGACATGTCTTGAGGAAGGGACCCTGCGCGGTCCCGAAACGTTGGCTTTTCTGATCACTGTGATGTCTTTGTCCAATTAAAGGGACATATTCAACTTTACTACTGAGTGCTGGTGCTCTGCTTTTTTGTTCCTTATAGTTTTGGGACTTCTCTGTGTAAATAAGGCTCATGGTCACGGCACTTAAGTTTTTTCTACACTTGCTTTCTGGATTAGGATTTTTGGCCTTTGTCAAAACACATTGCACATTTTGCTTTCAACAGGATGAAGGGTGTAGGTCCTGTCTAGGGGCAGAATGTGTGACTATTAGATTGCTTCTTTCCCTGTCTTGGATGGACTCTCTTTATAGGAGCCCTCACCTTGGCTTCAGCTAACCCATGAGAAGAAGGTTCAACCTGAATTTAGCCAAGGGAGTTCAGAGGAACTTTTTCCTGTTAGGAGATTTGCACCTTAGAGGGAGGTTAGGAATAGATACCCTTTTGCTTTGGAGGAGGACCATTGTTAAACCCTGTGCACTTTTCACTGTGCACTTGGTCCCACAAGTAGTTTTTTAAGCCCTTGGTGTTCGTTTGTTTGAACACGCACTGCGGACTTGAGGTCTTTTAAAAATGAATCACAGGAAAAAATTAGCAACTTACAGTCACGTTTTAGGGCACCTCCCCTTTACCAAGTATATCTGCCATATAAACCCAATAATTCATTTGCTAATTTTTGTAGCAAATGATAACCTCTGTATATCATATTTAATAATTACACATCCCTATTAGGGGTCCCCCTGATGCCTATGAGGAGGAACGCGCCACTGTCCAGATCACTGACAACCTGTCGGTGATGTGTGCAGTGGTGCATTCCTCCTCACAGCCATTGCTGAGTCAAGGGCCTGGTGTCAGCAGCGCAGGAGGATGCGGGGCCTGGCATCGGCAGCAGTGGAGGAGGTGGGGGCCCGGTGGTGGAGGAAGTTGACAGCGGATAGGGGCTGACAGGTAAGAGGTGTGCAGGGGTGTGACCAGCCCACCTGAGACCCTGCAGAGCCCACCATAGAGACTCTATGGTGGGCTCTGCAGGGTCACTCTCTGCAAAGTCCCATCATGCATCTGCCTCTGGAAGTCATCCCTATGGCTGTCATAGTCCTGCAATGCCTTATGGGACTTCGAGTTCCACAATGGCTGGAGGGCCGAAGTTTTCTTACACTATAGAGCAATAAAATGGTGAGAGTGGGATAAAAAACCCTTTTCTGTCCCTTTATTAAAAAAAAATGTAGGACGTCTCACCTCGAAGCCATAGATATCCAGTATAGCGATGGAAAGTGCATCTTGTCGGGGATATACCAGCTTATTAATTCTGTCTGTCAGCCAGCTGAAGAGCAGGGAGTATAAAATCTTGGCAATAGCATCTCTGGAAGACAATGGCAATAATAATGTTGCTTTAAGAATCTTGAACTAAGTGAGAAAGAATCATCTCCTATGGAGGGCGGATGGCAGGCGCCATTAGTGAAATGAGTCTTAAAGATAACGCTGTTCAGCATCCAATTATAAAGTAGATGTTATCCCAACTTGGCTGCAGAAGTGGATATAAACTTTAAGGCTTACCTGGCATCGACAGCGCTATCCACCGACAACGGAGTGTAGATCTTCTCTCTCATGGTTTCCTGTACAACCAAAGAAAATTATTAGGATCCCAGTGTCACTCTTTGTGTACCATTGTGTGTTTATTGTTTTACTTGCCGTCACTTTGTAGGTGATGGCTTTCTGCAGTCCCTCGGGGGATATCTGGAGGAGTTCGGACACCACACGGATCTCACTCGCACTCACTATTGAAGCTACTTCCTGAGACTCAGTCTGAAAATCAGGACACATAATGCTGAATATCCATTCAAAGGTTTCTGTGCAGCTTTGTGTCAAGACCAAAACAAACGTTTTTTAGTTATTTTCTTTGCAAGTTACATTAATTTTTAAATGTTTCGGGGGTAATATCACAATATGGCCAACAGATGGAGCTAAAGGAGCATAGGAGATAAGTATGTATATCCTATGCTCCTTGGTGCCATCTAGTGGTCAAAATGCAGTATTACATTAAAAAAAGAACATTTGTTTGGGCATATACAGTATATTCACAGAGATTGAACATTTACAGATATTTGCAGGGTGAAGGGTCCTGCCCATTGATTATAAATTGATCCCTTTGTGTCTACTATAAATACAATACAATTTGTATGCTGCCTGGATATCTGTAAGCCTGATGGGTCGCACCTCGTATTTCTCAAAGTAGACATTGCCCAAGTGCAGGATGGAGGACAGGATTCGGAAGATGCTGTCCTGATCCTCGCCATTAAAGCTGAGGGATTCCATGGCGTAAAGGAGCCTCCGAAAATCTTCTGCATCGCTTTTGGATGGTATCTCACAGTTTCCTCCCTGAATAATAAATAAACAGGAAAAGAAAGTGGAACTCCAACAAAAAAATGGCCATTATAGTTTAGAATTAGGTTGGCTAGGTTGACTTGGAGATTGCACAGGGCTGAGAACTCTCTCACCACCGCCACGGGATAGTGTTGGCTGCCAATTGTCAAGCACCAGAGGTGTCAAATGGGTGGAAGGAGAGAATTCCCAGCCCTGGGTGGGCCTTTTACCCTCAGTAGAGACTGGGGAAGGTACATATATGCTTACTGAGCAATGCACAGGTTCACTTTCCCCCCTTTTTTTCTCACTATTTTCTATTCTGCTGGGTAACACGGAGGTACCGAGCAGAATAGCAGAGCCGAATGCCGTTTGGCGGCATTCGGCTATTCACTCACTGCCGTTTGGCCCCTATGTGAATAGGGGCGAACGGCAGCGATTGAGCTGCCGGAGCTTCGGCTCAGCCCATCCAGATGTTGGATCGGCTGAGTGGAACTCCTTTGCACTTCGGCTCAGCCAAACATGCAGAGCATGTTTGGCTGACCGAAGTGAAGCCGAAGGCAGCCGATGTAGGGCTGATTTCAGCGAATGTACGGCTGAAATCAGCCGTAGTGAATAGCCAAACGTTATTCGGCTCACTTCACTTAGGCTGGGTTATTTACTAGGCTGCCTATACATATATTACTAAAGCTGAATGGTATTCAGGAATCCGAATTTCTGAATTGCATTGGGGAGCTCCTGAAAGCCATTTGTGTCTGGGAGCCTCAGCTTTAGTAATATATGTATTAAAAATGACATAAAACACCCAAAATAATTCAAAGCTCCAGAGTCTCTGGCGTACCTGATTCAAGTAGTAATACGTTTCTGCATCCTGCAGGTAGAAAAGTTGCTTTTGTTGACCTGGGAGTCCTGCCAGCATCTCATAGAAAATGTGGTAATTCCTCTCGTTTTTGGCCTGAAATAGGACAAAGGGAATCAAAATAGATGTTTGTTCTCAAGCATTTCCAGTGATGATCATACACAGAGATGGATTTAAGTCTAAGTTTACCCATTTAGGGTGTACCATGAAACACGGTCATATCACAATTACCCTCCAGCCTCCTCCTGCCCCCCACTTACCTGAATCACAGGGTTATTCTCCCCGCAGGCTTGTGTTCATTGACGCACAGTCTTGTCATCTATTCATAAGTCCCATCCCAAGCCACTGCGGCAGAGGCACTTGTTGTTCTCAGTGGCATACAACTGCAGTGATGTCACTGCACTTGTAGTCCATTCATTGTTCCGGTATGGACACAAACTGGAGGAAGAGTCTGCAGGAGCCAGATAATTTTACCTGTGATCCCCTGATCACCGTTGCAATGCTTTGCTGGCTTCAATACAAAGAAATTCTTAATGCACATTTTTTTCTTTTATGAAGAAGTGTGCATTTATTTTTTGCTAAAAGGTGGAATTTACCTTTAAGACAGAATGGGGCCCCAGGCAACATAGCAACTTTGGCCCGGTCAACTGGTAAGGATTGCAGAAGGAGCCACCAAATCTGCATTTTCTGTATTGTCATGGCCTAACCCAGCAGACACCAACTGCCTACAAGTGCATCCTCCTATGTGACAGGCCAGTGTGCAGGTTTGGCTAGTTGACCTACTGTCGTGGTTTACTGCAGGAGCATGAAAGTCGTATCTGCCCCCCCCAATATCTACTGGGCTCTAGGTTTTTCTTAGTGTTCCTTCTAGATGATCTGGCTATGGATGAACATGTACTCAATCTGAGAAGCATGGTATAGAATTTGATAGACTCAGTCTCCTGGTTGGATAAAGTTCTGGTTATCACCTGGTTTGAACACATTTGCTCATTGGGTTGCCTGTCAAGTGCTGGGAGTTTTTGATGTCCAGCTTCTGGCGCCAAGAACAAATAGAAACTCTGAAGCAGCAAAAATATATTTTTAATTTCTGATGGAGGGGGGAAGAAGGTTATTTGATGTCCGTGTTCCTGTGTCTGTGTATAGTCATCGCTCAATCATCTGTCCTTCCCATTACAATCTCCTGAACTCAGTTGATAAACTATGGTGGACACTTTATTAGTGAAAGATTCACACTTTTGCATTGTGCATGAAGACCTCAAGAGCCTCAAGAGAAAGTTAAAAAGAGAGAAAAGCTGGGTCTTCACCTAAATATCAAGAAAAGAAAGGTTATGACAACTGGAAGGACAGCTAATTTCAGAGTTGATACAAAAGAGCTAGGAGCAGTAGGTAGCTTTTGTCTTCTTGGATCAATAATTAACAACAAAGGACCCAGCAGTCAAGAAATACAATGGGGACTAGCACATGGAGGAGCATGGATGGAGGGCTAGAAAAAAAAATCTTTATAAGGGCAGATGAGTCTGTAAGTACAAAGATCGTTGTTGTCCATGCTATGGTATTTTCTGTTATTCTTTATGGATTTGAAAAGCTGGACAATAAGCAAGCAACATAGGAAAGGCACTGATACCTTTGATCTTTGGTGCTGGCAAAACATTCTACAAATATGGAGAACAAACAGGTCCAACAAATAAAGCCCAACCTTTCATTAGAAGCCCAGGTGACTAGACTGAAACTGTCTTATTTTGAACCAGAAAAGAACCAACTCATTGGAAAACACAATAATGCTTGACGCTTGAAGAGAAGAAGAGAACAACCAGTGATAAGGTGGAGGAATACAGACATAGAACATGTAATTGGGAAACTGAAGATAGATCACTCTGGAGAACTACTATCCATGTGGTTGCCAGGAGTCATCATCAACTTAGTAGCACTTAATAATAATAATAATTTTTTTTAATTATTTCGGTTTATTGGATTTTTCAGGTAATATACAAAACATACAATACAATAACAGGGGGTGGATTAACCGTGCAATCGATATATAACAGTATTTAGTGAGTCAAGTCAATACCCCGCGTGTCGGACAGACACTAACAGGGGGGAAGGAAATGACACGGGGAGGGAGGAAGGATTGGGGGGGGGAAAAGAAAGGGTGGGGTAGGGAGGG